TGGCAAAAAAATTCCAAAATTCAGATTTAAAAAGTAAATTTCAATTAAATTGTTTTAACAACTGACTTTCATTAAACAACTGGATTTTTATCGGTGAAAAAATGGTTACAGAAATCTTTAATGATCCTTAATTATCTTCCATGTATGAGGTCTTCTAAGAATAATTCAGCAGATTGCATTGATTTGTCCATCTGGCTTACTATTCTATTTTTTTCATTTTTATTGTATTTTAAATAGTATGTCAAGGCCATCTTGGATCACTTGCTCATCTCCCTCTCCTCCCATATCCCTCACCCCTCTTCCAAGCCGACCACCCTTTTTTTCAGCCCTTGCAAGAAGGTCCCCCCCGAGTCCCTCACAAATGCCCTCTTCCTCTCCCTCTGGCCCTCCACCCGCAGCGATCCTGATGCAGCCATCAAGCTGCTGAATGACCATCTCTCCACAACCTTCAATTCTCTGGCTCCCCTGAAATCCAGGATTGTTTCCAAGCCCCCCCCCCCCCCCGATACATCAATCATCTCCACTCACTCAAAACACAAATCCTGATGCTTGAGCGCAGATGGCAGAAAGCCGGCCTCGCGATTCACCTCCAGCTGTGGCTCGAACACCTATCGCCTCTCCCTTTCACAGGCCCAAACTCTCTTTTACTCAAGTCATCCTGGAGGCAAACAACAATCCAAAGATGCTGTTTTCCACCGACCATCACTACCTCCATGCGCCCCCTCAAGCCCCTCTAAGCTCACATCAAACTCCAAGTGCAAAGAGGACCTAGACTTCTTCGCCTCAAAGATTGAAAACATCCACTTGGCTGTATTGTCCTCTCCACCCATCCCTCCCCCATGTCCCCTTCCACCCCTCCCAGACCATCCACACCACCTTCTCCCTCTACCACAGCTCCTGCCAATCCCCCTCCTTAGACTCCTTTGCCCCCATTTCTCCCTCCCTCTCAACCACAATCACCCACATGAAGTTCATCACCTGCTGCCTTGATCCCCTGCCCACCCAGCTGTTGGTCACTCAATTCCCCTTCCTCTCCCCCTGCTGGCCAACATGGTGAACCCGTCTCTCTCCTCAGGCTCTGTTTCTCTCTCCCTGAAAACCGTTGTTATCACATGCGTTCTCAAAAAAAAACCATCCTCGATCCCTCTAATCTCTCACACTACCATTGCATTTCCAACCTACCTTTCCTTGCCAAAGTCCTGGAATGCATTGTTGCAGGTCAACTTTGGTCACACAGCTCTCTCCACTCCCTCCTTGAGCCGCCGCAGTCTGGTTTTTGCCCTTCCCACAGCAGAGACCTCCGTCTCGCCCCCTCCCTCGTCACCTTCAAGACTCGCCTCAAGACCCTTCTCTTCGACCGTGCTTTCAATATCCCTGCCTCCCCCCACCCCAACCCTCAGCTCAGGTCTGTAACTCCCGACATGAAATGCGCTATATAAACTTAATGCTGTTGTTGTCAAAGTCACAAATGACGTTCTCTTTATCTGTGACCAGGGCTCCCTCTGCCTCCTCGTCCTCCTGGATCTCTCTGTCGCGTTCGACACAGTCGAGCAGGCCATCCTCCTCCATCGCCTCTCCTCCCTCATTCACCTCAGTGGGACCACACTCGAATGGTTGGAGTCTTACTTAACTAACTGCCTCCATTTCATCTCAGCAAATGGTTTCTCCTAACGCCGTCACCTGCAGGGTACCCCAGAACTCCATCCTTGGCCCTCTTCTTTTCCTTACCTATATGCTCCTTCTTGGCGACGTCATCCGCAGACACGGGGTAAACTTCTACATGTATGTGAATGCCACACAAATCTACTTTGCCTCCTTCAGAACCAACTACAGGTCTGCCGATGTTCTATCAGCTTGTCTGGCAGCCATCAGGGCCTGGATGAGTGCAAATTTCCTGCAGCTGAATGTGGACAAGACGGAATCTGAACTCCAACCTCCCTGGGCTTTCCCTCACAGTCACCAAACCAGTGCACAATTTAGGCGTCTGGCTTGACCCCCAGCTGTCCTTCCTCCCCCACATCCGGTCCCTGACCAGGACCGCCTTCTTCCACCTCCGCCACATTGCCTGCCTCCGACCATACCTTACCACAAATGCAGTCAAATCGCTTGTGCATGCATTTGTCACCTCCCACCTGGATTACTCAAACGCACTCCTCGCCGTCTCCCCAGCCCCACTATTCAAAAGATCCAGCTCATTCAGAACTCTGCCGCCCACATACTGACCCGGACCAAACTCCGTACCCACATCTCACCAGTTCTGGCCAAGCTCCACTAGCTCCCCCATCACCGAACGGATCAACTTCAAGATCCTCACGCTCTTGTTCAAATCCCTTCACTGTCTGGCATCTCCCTACCTCTCCGACCTCCTTACTCTCCAATCCACCACCCGGTGCCTCCACTCGACTGGCACCGGCCTCCTGCTTGTCCCTCGCACCCTCTGCCCTACCATCGGAGGTTGCGCTTTCTGCCACTATGCCCTGAAACTCTGGAATACTCTCCCTCAATCCCTCCGGCCCCTAACCCCCCTTTTTCAAGTCCTACCTGAAAACCTTCCTCTTTGACCGTACTTACGGTCACTTCCTCTCCCCCCCACCCCCCGGCTCAGTCAGGCTCTGCTGCTGTTGTTGTATGACCAAGTGTACACTTCTGCAGTCTTGTTGGAACCAATAATATATTTGCCTCTGCATTTATCTGAGGAATATATTGGGGTTGACCAATATACTGCTACTTATTTGTTTTGTGAGTGTTCTGTTTCTAGTGTCTGCAATGATTTATAGAATACAATGGAATGCATCTTGGTTTTCCCAGTAATAAAATAGGGCTTTACTGCAACCTACCATACTTGTAACCCCAAATTATTTTAAATTTAATTCTCAGCCTACCATTTTAAAAAAAATGGCAGTCCCCCAAAAGTCTAAACAGTATAATGTTAACTCAGCAATGCATGTTCATTAGCAAGTTTTCATAATTTTAGAGAAAGCGTACCTCATTTTTGCAAACAGTTTCTGAGTAACCAAATCTGTACATTTGCAAATTACCTTGTTAGTTTATACTTTCTTGGAAATCCCAAATTTGCTTCCTCTGCACTATATAGAGAAAATATGAATTCTGCTTGAACATACCACATGCACGTAGATTAGTTTGGGCAAATCACACATTTTAAGACTTCAGAGCAATGCTGTACAAGATTCTCCTATTCCTCTGCCTTATCAATGGAATATTTCTGTACAACTCCTGAGTTTATTTTAACCAATATATGCCAGCAGCGTGCCAGCTTACAATCTAGCATTGATATGAGAGCACAAGCTGTTACCCATGCCTTGAATTGGTCCTATAGCAGCACTCAGTAATAATCCTTAATTTTGATTATAATGCCTATAACATTGAAAACTTCCCCAAGGGCTTCACCAGTAATTGCTGTCAAGTTTAGTGGTTGTATAATTGAAGGCAAACATGGCAGCCAATTTGTGTTCAACAAACAGCAATGAAATGAATAACCAATCTTTATTTGGGGGTTTGGTGGCCGGACACCTGGAGAAACTCCCTTCTCTTTTTAAATCACCCCTGTTCTTGCTGGCTTGGTTTCACTGGCTCCCTATCCCTCAGAGAATCGAGTACAAAACCCTTGTTCTCACCTTCAAAGCCTTCCACAGTCTTCTCCCCCCTACCTCTCTGACCTTCTAACGCCATATCAGCCTGTCCGTTCCCTCCGCTCGGCGGACACCGGCCTGCTTCAGGTCCTGCACACTTCCTGCCCCACCATTGGCGGTCAGGCATTCAGCGTCTCTGCCCCCACACTCTGGAACTCTATCCCGCAATCCCTCCACCTCACCCCGTCTCTTGCCTCTTTCAAGTCCCGTCTAAAGACCTTCCTCTTCGACTGTGCTTTGCTCCCACTTCTCCTGGCCCCAACTCCTAGCTCGGGTCCAAAAGCCCCCGACTGTCTGGTGCCCTGGACATCTTTCTGACATGAAGGACGCTGTACAAGTGTGATTTGTTGTTGTTAAATAATGTCCACTTGAAATGCAGATAAGACATCAGTTTAATGGCTCATCCAAATCACAGCACCTCTGACAGTGCAGCAGAGGGATTCACAGACTGAGCTCAAAGTTACAACGTGGGCTTTGAACTCACAACCTTCTGATCCAGAGGCACAACCAACTGAACCAGAAACTCAAGTGTGTGTTTTTTATTGTAGAAAAATAATCTGTTTCATTACTTTTGTGTTGGTTTCCCACCAACAATATAATACTGCAATTAACCCAGATAAGAATTACACAATAAGGCATTCTTTCCCCTTCTATTGTGTCGAAGGTATCATTCTGGGCTTTCGCCTCACCGGCAGCAGTTCTCTTTCACATTGAATAAAATGTCAATCACTGTTTCAGTTCTTTGTTTTTATCTTAAAAGCAAATCAAAATCTGTTCCTATAAAGCCACTGCAAAGCAGACCAGTCTTAGCACATCAGGTGTTTGGTTTTTAATGTAATAAAATGGCTGGTTGCGTTTTAAAGGGAGTTGATTCTTAATTTTCATCTAGAATAATTTTATTTTGTTTAGTTAACTTAATTTGCCAGGTATATTCACAGTTATTAAAGAGCTTGGCAGCAGTTTAGTTTAGGATTGTGGAGCCTAGTATGGGAAACGACATGGGCTGCAGAGGTCCTCGTCGTCTGAATCCTGTGATGAAGTTGTTCATGAGGGCCTTGGCGGCCCAGGAGAGGAATGGCGGGAGCTGGCAGTGTTACAGATCTGAAAGAAAGCCGAGCGGGCAACAGCACAGATGTGGGTTTAAAGGACAGTTGGGAGTCAAACAAGACACCAATGTTCAGCGGGTTGATGCAATCAGTGCCTGAGGTGAGAAGGCGCTGATGGGAGATGAGCAGAAGAGTCAGGATCTTGTCTATGATTAATTGAAATAACCATTGTCATTGAATTATTGGCCATTACTTAAATTGTTGAACTCTGTTGAATTGAGTAAATGAATGTGTTTCTATGCAGGAGTTCACCCTCGGAAATCGCTTACAAGACAGGTGAGTGATTATTACTCATTTATTTGACATTTATCACTTCTGCAGTAAGGGATTCAGGTTCACAAACATTGAAGGAATCAAATAAGAAATGGAAAAAGCATTGTGATATGCCTAACTTGGTTTAAAATGATAATAGCAATGATAATATATTGAGTTCTGTATATACAAAGGACATAGGCCATATATTTGAAATTATGAATCACCAAGCACAGGAAGCCCAGTTAGTGCTCTTATGGAATCTTCTCCTGCTTATAGCACTCGTCTCCTGTGGACTTGCACTAAATGGAATGACTATATACCTGGCTTTTGGTGCTGATTGACCAGCTTCCAGTGCTACAAAACAGCCAAGTTTCAAATTGTCACTTCCTATGAGTTTTTAGGAAGTGCTGTCTGTGGGGACCTAATGAATCCAAAGGGTCTATTTCTTTAGCACTTCACTTCAACAACAACAACAACAACTTGCACTTATATAGCATCCTCCATACAGGGTAAGCGTCTCAGTGCACTTAAACACTTATACCACTGTTGGTGAGTTATTGATCCCAGGCAATTGCATTATAAAGAGGTTCTGCTGGACTGGCAAGAACCTGATGCAGGTTATAAATAGTTTACATTTTTTACAAAGTCATTGCATATCAATATGTTCACTGAGAATGCACCTCTTCCATTTGGCCTGATAGTCTGTGTTCCAGAAATTTAATATTCTTCTTTGCCATAATCGCACATGATGTTTGGTTACCAACAGCAGAAAAAATACACTTATGGAAGAAATATCACTGAAGCAATTTCCCTTTAAGCATAACCCAGTAGCCTAGCTTGAAATAGATATTGCAGATTAATACTGGTGGTTGTTAGACACCAGTCGTTATATAATATAATATTATAAAACAAATGTGTAGTGCAGCCCCCGAATAATGTGCTTCACTGTAACGTGAATTTACTTATACCACAGTTGCACTGTGGACTCACTGTGGACTTTTCACTTGCTTTCCATGTACCAGCTGACATTTTGCATTAAAATTAGTTTTCCCTGCTTGAATATTGTCTTTATTAACTTTCGTTAGGAATTGGAAAATGTGCTCATAGAAACTCCTCCTGTTTGGAAAGGCACTTCAAATCTTTTTCGAACTTTACAAGACAGAGGTGAGTGAATTAGATGACAATGCTGATATTTTTTGGAATATTTAAACTGTGTGTTTAAAAATAGGATCCAGGTTTCATTGTGTTTAGAATCCACAAGCATTTTTATAATATAGCATCAGTCTTACCTTTATAAATTGAAAATTGCCGAAGTTGTACGTTCACCCAAGTTCCATTCAGTTTCATATTAAAAAAACCTCAGATTTCTTTGCCCAAGTTGTATTAACTTGTAATTCTGTTTCGCCCATCCTCCATTACTCCCGCACTTACCGGTGGCATTGAATCGTGGGAAATAACGTCATGACCCGTCAACGAATGCATATTTACCGGCTGGCAGCATTGAATCATGCGAGACGTACTTTTGATCTGGTCAAACAACAACAACTTGCATTTATATAGCTCCCCTCACGCAGGGTAAGGTCCTAGAGTGCTTGACAATGGCAGAGCATGACGCCCAGCCGGGGGGAGAGGGAGGTGACCGTAGACACAGTCGAAGAGGAAAGTCTTCAGATGTGACCTGAAGATGGGGAAGGAAGGGGCAGTGGGTAGTAGGTTGAAATCGATCCGTTTGGCGATAGGGAGCCAGCAAGCTTGGCTAGAACTAGTGTACGGAGTTTAATACCGGTGAGTGTGCAGGCGGCAGAGTTCTGGATCTGCTGGATCCTGTGCATGGTGGAGCTAAGGAGACCGGCAAAGAGGGCATTTGAAAAGTCGAGTCAGGAGGTGACGAACACATGGACGAGTGGTCGGGTCTATCTAGGGCAAGGTACGGTCGGAAGCGGGCAATGTAGTGGCGGTGGAGAAACAATCCTGGTCAGAAATCGGATGTGGGGAAGGAAGCACAGCTGTGAGTTGAACCTGATGCCTTGATTGTGCACCGGTTCGGTGAATCTGAAGGATAGACTGGGGAGGTTGAGGAGTTCAGAGCTGCAGGACAGAAGATGTTGACTGGAGCCAAGGAATATGGCTTCTGTCTTGTCAATATTTAGTTGTAAGAAGTTTGTGCTCATCCAGGCCCAGATGTCTGCCAGACAAGCTGACAGAACATCAGCAGACCTGGAGGAGGAGCTGGAGGAGGAGAAGTAGATTTGTGTGTCATCTGCATATGTGTGGAAGTTTATTCCATATAAGCAGATGATATCACCAAGAGGTTTGTTAGATTGGACTCGAACCAGGCTAGTGCGGTCGCACTAAGGTGAATGAGGAAGGAGAGGTCGTGGATGAGGATGGCATGGTCAACTGTGTTGAACACGACAGGGAGGTCTAGAGGATGAGAAGTCAGAGGAAGCCCTGGTCACAGAGAGAGAGGAAGTCATTTGTGACCTTGACAAGCGCTGTCTCTGTGCTATGGGCAGAAACCAGACTGTTGAACAAGACGTATTGAATCGCGGAAAATATAGTCTTGATCCGTCACTGCATGCGCACTTATCGTCTGCAGTGGCGAAGTACCGCATGCTCACTGACCAGCTGCATTGAATTATGCATGTGCAGTGTAGATCATTGATTAAATCGGATTTTATATAACTTGTACGGTTTGCCTGTGACTTTGCGTAAGTCATATTAAATATTGTGGTCTCAACTGATACGACTTATGTGAGTTTTACTGCAGTAAGTTTGACCTGCAGGTCAATAGTTGCCTTTCAATATTTACTTTTCAATTTGCTTTATCAGCAGCAGAATGCTGCAAGGGTTACTCCTGAATTCTTTAACAAGACCTTAAGAAGCTATAGTGACCTTTTTCCACCCTTAATGCTAAAGATTTTAATTCTAGTTTCTGGGTGTATGAATGCTCAAATAGCATTAAGGACAGATGATTCATAGGAGATTTCTCAACATTCTGCTTCTCTATGCTTGTCTACTTTTTTTTGTTAAAATCAGTGAACATAATCATTTGGGCCTTTGATGCTCTCAGCTATTTGGGTTCAAGAATTTCCAGTTAACAACATGATAACTGGGGGAGCAAATGTAATTCAAAGGTTAAATGTTTGTGAAACAAAGGAGTGATGTCTGCCACACTTTTCAAAGCACATTGCATGAAAGTAATTGAAAAATTGCTAAAATTACTGTTATTTTCCTACCTTTTGTTGGTATGAGTGTTATGTGATTTTAAAAAAAAGACCAACATTTCCAGAATGTTACTTGTTGTTGATGGATAAAGCTGCCATTAGGGCTTTGAAGAGTTAATTCCTTCATTTTGAATACCTGTGATGCAGGTACTTTTCTACACTCAGAACAAATACTTGTGTTGGAACTGAAACTAAGCACCAGAACTGGGTTGAAACCTGTTAATCCTGGTGTTGAGTTTCAAACCAAAGCACAAAGGTATTATATTGGCCATCAAACAAAGCTCATCTTGAGAAAGGCTTGTGAAGGCACTCGAGGATGTCTAAGTCTGTTTGAGGTCCATGGCTAGCAAGACAATTTTATGTTCTTACTACTGATCATTGTGAATAGAATTAACTCTTAGAGCAGCATTGAGTTACAATGTATGGAAAAAAAAGCTTTTTGGGAGGTGTTGCTTTGGAATTTTTCTGCTTAACGACATCTATTTGAACTTTTGCTTTGTCAGTGTCAATTATTTAGACTACAATTTGAGACCATTCACAAAGATAGCGAAACTTTGTAGTTCAATGGGTATTAAGTATTTTTGCAATATAAACATTACTTATTCCTTGAGAGATGGTATTGTTATAAATTTACCCTCTGGACTAGAAGTTTATATTTGGATACTGCAGGATTGTGTGTAATCCTAGCATACCAGTGTAAATTGTATTTACTATAGGAGATTCATCATGGGATTTATGTCACGAATGGAAACAAAATTTCTCTTGAAGATCAATTGTTATTTAGTAGAGGGAAGTGTTAAAGTGGGATCTGATTAAGACCCAACCTTCCCAGGTTTTTTCGACAACACATACAAGTACTGTATTTTCCAAATGTGATCAAACCTATAACCAATTTGTTTTAAATTGTATCTTTGGGAATAATGTGGAGATAACTGGACATTAAAAGGAGTCTATACATTTGCGTTGAAAATCAAGCTATTAATACATTAAGACTAATTAACATGCATTTCTGTTGAGTTTTAAAACTGTTTGTACAGTAGGATGATAATAACAATCCTTGCATTTGATATAACACCTTATCACGTCTTTGAGATGTCTCAAAAAAGTCACAGAATATACTGTAAAGTGAATTGACTGTATAGTTTGTGAGCGAAACAAGGCAACCAATTGCACACAGCATTGTCCCACAAATAGTGGCCACTTTTTTTTTAAGTGATTATTAACTCCAGAAAAATGATCCGCCAATCGACTAACAATCAGGTTCCTACTTACTGCTAGGTAAACAGATGTGGAGTAAGGAAACTTGCCCAGCGTTTCGCCCTGCTGGGAATTGAACTCAAGAGAGAGTTGCTTGAGAGGCGAGTGCTCTAACCACTGAGTTGCAGGACTCCCCTAATGACCTTACAAGGGAGCTGCCTTTGGAGAGCTACCACCAACTTGCAATTACATAACACCCTCCTTGGGACGTCCTCCCGATGTGAAAGGCGCTACACACATGTAATTTTGTTGTTGTCCACGAGAGTCACGTCTCAGAGCGCTTAACATTGGCGGAACTTGATGTCCAGCCAGGGAGAGGGGAAGTGACTCTTCAGGAAGCTCTTCCGATACAATATAAAGACTGGCAAGGTGGAGGGATTGTGGCAGAGTTCCAGAGCACGGCCGCCGATTGTGGAGAAGAAGGGTCGAGCGACGTGTAGGCAGAGCCAGCTGAGCAAAGGCAGTGGGTAGTGAAGTGGGGTGTAAGCAGGAGGCGAAGTAGGGAGATGCTGGGCAATGAATGTTTTGTAAGTAAGTGTGACAATCTTGCAGTTGATCTGTTATGCAATAGGGAGCCTTGCAACGATGGGGGTGATTGTGCTGCAGAATTTTGTACAGGTGAGAATACCTACTACGGGGGGTTGAATCAGTTACATTTTATGTGTGGTGAAGCTGGGAAGATTGGCAAGGATGGGCATTGGAAACATCAAGATGGAAGGTGACAAAAGCGTGAATGAGGATTTCAGATGCATTGGTTGTGAGTTACAGTTATAGGCAGGTGATGTGGTGGAGGTAGAAGATAGCAGTCCTGGTCAGGGACCAGATGTGGGATGGGACAGACTGTTCAAGGTCGAACCTGATACCTAGGTTGTGCTTAACATCGGTGTGATTTGATGGTGAGCCAGAAAGTGGGGTGAGATGACGAAAAGCACAGTCAAAGAGAAAAATCTTCAAGCGAGATTTGAAGATGGGAAGAAAGGGACACGATGGAGGGATTGAGGCAAGGAGTTCCAGAGTTTTGAGGGCACAACAGCTGAAAGCATGGCCACCAATCATAGAACAGAAGAAATGTGGGATGTGCAACAGACCTGTTCCAGCTGAGCGAAGGGGGTGGGGAGAGCGGATTGTCAGTAGATCGGAGAGGTTGGGAGATGCCAGAGCATGAAGAGGGTGTGAAGAGAGCATGAAGAGCACAATGAGGGTGTGGAACCTGGTAATAATAATAATAATAAACCTTGCATTTGATATAGTGTCTTACCACATCGTTGAGATGACTCTTAAGTGCTTCACAGATATCTGTAAAGTGAATTACTGTGTATTTTGTGGCCAACACGCAGCAGTCAATTGTGCACAACAATATCTCACAACAGTAATAAAATGAATATTAAATTTTTGAGGGGATTATTACCTCCGGAAAGAAATCCGCCAACTGACTAACAACTGGGTTCTTACTTGCTGCTAGGTCATCAGAGGCATGTAGAGTAAGGAAACTTGACCAAGGTTTCACCCCACCCGGGAATCGAATCTGGGTCCTCTCGCTTGCGAGGTGGGTCCTAACCACTACACTATGGGATTCCACAAGTTCCATGATATGGGTGAGGACACGGGCAACAGGGTTTTGAATCATTTGGATTTATGGAAGGCAATCCTCCAGATAAAATTGGTCATTCACTTCATGAC